GAAACTTACTGTAATTTGCTGATTCTTTAGGATGATATCAGAAAATGCCAAGTTATCTTTGTGAACTGCATGGCTCTTAAACAACCTCAAGACATTTTCAAGAAGATAGCAGTTGAATTAGTGGGAGAAGACCAATGTCCAGCAAAAACTTCACAAAAATTCCTTGAAGAGGAATTTTCTTCATCAGCTGTAACAAGGTAACTGAACTATTCCCACAAATAAACCCAAAACAAAGAATTGAAAATTCATCATTAATGGGTAGTTTTCATCATCAGTTTTTTTTTGGCCAAACTGTCTTGTTGAATGATCAGTGATTGTTTGTTCTAGAATCCTTATCTTAGATGAAATGGATCAACTTGAATCAAAACATCAGGAAATTCTTTACACTATGTTCGAATGGCCCTCTTTGCCAAAATCAAAGCTAATTCTAATTGGTAAGTAATAATTTCAATCATTTTAAACTTGTTTAATTGGTAAATGAAGTAGAAAAGAAGATGTGCACATCTATCACTACTGATTGATGGTGATAACTGATCCGGAGGTTTTTATATGTAGGGATTGCAAATGCCTTGGATTTGACTGACAGGATTCTTCCAAGACTACAAGCTAGACCTAAATGTAAGTAACCCTTTTAACTTCCTAAAATTATTAACATGTAGCTTCTCCCTATAATATTCATATGTTATCCAGAAAACAGGTTATGAGAAATTACTCAAACTTATATAAAAGGTAGAAGTTTTTATTCTGATCTATCACCAAATTCTCATAACTAATTTACCAGGAGATCTGTAATAGCTAGAGGAGAAAATTAACATTCAGATCTTGGGAGTTAAAGGGTTAAATGTATAACTTTGGATTTCAATAAAATATTTCAAATAAAAAAAATTCTTCAATACATAGATTTTGGCAAAGCACGAGATTGTCTCAACAATTTCTCTTTGTCAATCAATAAGTGAAGAAGTAAGCACTAACCCTCTGAACTCCAAAATTGATTAACATGTAACTTCTCCTTCCTGGATTATTACATTATTTAGCCAATGGGTCATGAGAATGGACACATTTATCAGCTGTAGAGAAAATTTTCCTAATCTAATACTTACTTTTCCTAAGTGATTTGCAAAGAAATGTATCGCAGATTTCAGAGAGAATCACAAACCATATCTCTTCAGTGAAAAAAAAAATGAAGTTTTGCCATATAATGAACAAGAGATATTAAAAGTACTTGATTACCTCTCAAATTCCCAGAAATATTAACTGACCTCGTTGCTTTGTTTTTGTTTCAACTTCAAGGTAAACCAGAGCTTCTTCACTTTGCACCTTACACAAAGGAACAGATTGTGCAAATTATAAAGGACAGATTGACAACGGTTAGTTATTGCTTTTGCATAGAATTTTCCATTCCCAAACACAAAGATGGCTTGACTCTTACAGTGATTGGCTACTGTTTTCAGGTGGATGATGGAAATAACATTCTTGACGCTTCAGCTGTGCAGTTTTGCGCAAGAAAGGTGTCGGCCATGGCAGGTGACATGAGAAAAGCCTTAGATATCTGCAGGTAATGAGGATTACAAATTCCCTGAAAAAGAAATGTAACAGACCTGTATCAAAAATAGCCACCAGATTGAAGCCCTATGAGGACAGTGTGAGCCTACTCATATGATGATAAGGGAAATTGGAATCCATTAGCTCTTATTTCCATTAATCCTTTAACCCCTAAGTGTGACCAGCATCCAATTTCTCCTTACATCATCACCCCTGAATCAAACATTTAGGTCACAAGAATAGAGAAAATGATCATCAACTAAAGGAACTCTTGATTGTTTAACAAATTCTCCTCATCAGCACCTAAGGATATGTATAGAGAACAGTATGAAGAATATGTATTCTGATGTTAAGGCATAAAGGGTTCATAGTCAGACACTGTTGGCACCCTGGCTTGGGTCCACTAAATACAAGGTGTCCACAGATATACCATGTGCATCCCAAGATCCAATTTGTAATTCTTATTACAGACTACCACACATTTCCTCCTAAATCAGACAGGAGAATTTGATGTTAGACCAAGATAAACCCTATATTTAATAAGCTTGTCTGGGATAAGAAAAAAAATTATGTTTGTTCAATTCTGGGAGTGATATGGTGGATAAGTGGCATAAAATTACCTGAAGTTGAACATGACAATTTTAGGCAGCCCCCTTTGTTTGCTTGAACTAAATTCATCTAATCCTGATAATAAATACATGCAACTTCTTGTGATCACATCAAAATTAAAACTCCAAACTAATTTTTCAGGCGAGCAGTTGAAGTGGTAGAATCTGGAGAAAGAAAGCAACAGATTTTACAACCAGTTGGAAAAGGTACCTTTTAATTTTATGTTTATCACAAGTCTTGACTGGCTTTTGATCCCTTTATCTATGTTTTAAAAAACCCTAGATTGAGAGTGATGCCGTTAATCAATCAATATTCTTGTTAGCAACTATTTGATGAGTGATAATTATCAATAATTGTTGATATTTTAGTGATATTCCTTCCATTGAATCATGAAATCACAAATTCTTCTTTCATATTGTTTCATCAGCTGAATCTCCCTCAAAAAAACTTGAAACTCCACCAAAGCCTAAAAAGGTTGGAATTTCTCAGATTGCTAGTGTTGTAGCAGAAGTTTATGGATCCCGTCTGGTCTCTGGCCCCGGAAGTGAACAGCCAACAATACCACTGCAACAGAAGCTTCTTATCTGCACGTTTTTGTTGATGACAAAGGAACGCAACACCAAAGAAGTAGTTTTAGGAAAGGTAAGGAAAAACCTTCAGTTTAGGTTTCATTCTGATCAACCCTTTAACTCCCATGAGTGACCAAGACTGAATTTCCCCTTACAATATCAATACAATATCAAGCAACAAGTGATGAGAATTAAAGTAGATAACAAGTAAGGGATTATTGGTTGATCCAATGGCAAATTCCCCACACAGACACATAAGAATTGTACAGTAAGGAGAATTGATATTAATACTAATTCAAGTTAAATTTCATTCAAACCAATCAAGAATGTTATGAAATAATCCATATTTGAATGGCTGTTTTAAAAAAAGAGCTGTTATAAAAATCTTCATTCCTATATTTGCAATAAGTGTTGATTTCTTTAAGCACAGAATTTGTATTACCTTGACATGGGATCACATGCATCTTAAGAGTAAATAGAAATTTAAGGGAATTTGTTCAATTTTGTTCCTTTTAGTTTCATGACACTTACTGTAAAATCTGTACCAAGAGAAAAGTCTCCCATCTTGGTCAGGAGGATTTTCTTGGGCTGTGTAACATCCTTGAGACCAGAGGACTTCTTGGAATGAAAAGAGCTAAAGACACAAGGATGATGAAGGTGAGTTGGAAAGTTATTAAAAAAAAACCATGGAAAGTTTCTTCAGAAGAATTCCTTTAACTCAAGCAGCTAATGAACAGAGAGCACTGAGTTAATGTGTTCAAACCTGGCCAGGATCATTGTTAAAAAATAGATAACCTATCAGAAGTTTAAGGAACAAAACTTTGTGCAATTTACTTATTATGTAATAGTAAATTATGTTTATTATCATTACTTTTAGGTGACCCTAAAAATTGATGAAAGAGAGGTTGACTATGCATTACAAGACAAAACATTACTGTCTTCAATTCTACAGGAAGGAATGCCAACATCTTCTAAGAAATAAATTTAAGTGACAAATTTGAATTTGAAGTTATTTGCACTTTTTTTTATAAAAACTTGTTAGATAATTTTCTTGATAGACCATTTTATTTCATTCAAATGTTTTGCTTCAATTTGGATTTATTTTAAAGTTACCCTTATTTAAACTGAGTCTTTGAGAGCCAGTAAAAAATATTTTGTAACTATATAAAGAATGCGTTAATTTTATTTTCAAGTAAAAAATTTCTGTGACCTGAGGGACTGATCATTATTTATAGTCAGGGGGAGGGGGGGGTCAGAGGATTATGATTTGCCAAGGACCTCATTGGACTCTGTAGTAT